ACACAACGATGTGAAAGGTAAAAGCACAAAGTACAGACACTGGGACGCAAACACAAGGCGAATGCACACACAGGAAATGCAAGTGCATGGTATACTGTACTTTGTAAGCAGTGGCATTTATCCACACACACACACACACACACAGACACACACACACGGCTGTATGTCATGAAGACACATGTTGCAGTCATGCGGCGTGTCCCGTGCTGCCCGTATAACGCACACACACAGTAGTCATGCAGCCCTATTTAGGCGAGGGTAGCTCCTGTGTTGCCCCCGTTTCGGCTCTTTGTCAGCGGCTCTTGATGACGTCCGGGATTTTTCACACACATATGCATGCTGGGCCGTTCGTCAGCGGCTCCCGGTGACGTAAAGAGGTTTCCAGTAACCTGAGCTGCAGCCCCAGGTGCAGTGCGCTGGACATACTTGCCCCGTGACAACCCCACACACACACACACACACACACACACACACACATGCACACACTCTTGGACAGGCAGCGAGCAGCCGCATCAATCACAATCGTAGCCGAAGCCTGCCGCCGCCGCTTCTCTCTCACAGCGATACGCCCGTATTTAGCATTTCTAATCGCGCTACTCTCCCACGACGGTTCTCCTCGAGACAAATGTGCTGAAACACAAAGACTGACAGTCGGCGTGGCCCACAGAATTTCAATTTTTTTGTTCAGTATTCACTCATCTGATGCTAACTTTGTCCCGATTTCCCTTTTTGTCAGCCCACTCTTTTTTTGTTGTTTTTAACGCGCTTGGACAGATGAAGGCCCGTCACTCTCGCTGCGCTTTTGTGTGGGACGCGTCGTCGCTGTCAGAGCCCCACACAGCAGGGATGCAGAGCTGGGAGGGAGGGATGGAGCTGAGGTATCTCCCAGTTAGCTGTCTGGCCCAGCTTTTAATCACAGTGTCAGAAGTGTCCCGTCACAGTAAAGGTCAGTTTTCTGTGATTGACAGCCTACTTGATGCTCTCTGAACTGCACAGATGCAGCCGACTCTGCACGTCTGGTACTTCACCTTCGTTTCAAGTCCGTCTTCAGCGACAGCTCCACGATGAAATCTAGTCTTTTAAACGACTTCACATGCAAACGCGCTTCTTCAGTTTTCATAGTCGCCTGAATTTGTTCAAAATCAGCTTTTTCTAATCATTTCAGCGAGGGCGGTACTTTGTCATTTCTCGCGCCCTGTTATTCTCTGCAAAGTATATAAACCACTTTATGCACTCAAGATTGAAAAAATATTCTTTTGTCTTGCCAGATTTAAAAAATAAACTATTTCTCTGGATGTCAGGGCTACAAAAATTCCACTCAAAGTCCATTTAAAAGAAATCTTCTGCTGCTAAAACCTGACTCTCTGTCGTCTTTTTTTACGAACCCGCCGAACACCATCAGTGTCTCACGTTCACAAATGCCTAAAACTCAGCTGAAACTGTAGCATGTTGTACCAAACCAAGCTGTTTGCGGTTTCTTTTTTCTGCGCCGACTTATCGTTCGGTCGGTCGTTTAATTTTCGCAAAAAAGAAATCCCACAAGCCCCCGAAGATCTTCAATTGACAGTTTTGAATGATGGAGTGTTTTTACTGTTTACCTTGAGCTACCGGCGAGTGTCGTTCAGAGCGTGTCAGGTTTGTCATCGGCGTCGAGGCTGACCACCGTAGCTGATACAACTTTCTATTACTCAATCCGAGGATCAGAACAAATATCCACTCCCTCTTTCCCACCGTCCCGGCTCCCTTTTTAGTCGAAACGGCACCAAAAATGGAATTTAAAAAAAAAAAAAAAAGGAGCGTTGAAGAGAATCAGGAGATGATAAAAGCTTTTTGTTCCGTGTGTGTGGAGGTGGAATGGGTAGAGAATCAGAGGAAGCCCCTCTCAGCCCCTCTCTGGAGGTTTGGGATATTTGACTTTCCTCCTCAGCAGATCCATGTTTTATATGGTCTGTGTTAAAGGTGAATATCCGCAAAATGCTGTTTAAAGATTTTACGCCTGTGATGTGTCTTATATGTACATTATGAACAATTTGAGATATTTTCGTTTGCCCCCCTCTCCCCCCTTTTGGAACGAACAAAGAATTGAATATGAGAATATTTAGGCTGCGGCTGCCCGAGACGAGCGAGAAGATTTTTTGTTTCTGATGTTTGTTTTTTTTTGTGTACTTACTATGCTACAGCGACGCGTTGCTTTTGGGTTTTTTAAATGCTATGGCGAAAACGGTAGAGCTAGATTGTGGGGGGTGGGGGTGGGGGGTTGGTGGAATAATCCCCCTTTAATTTATTTGAATTGAAAAATGGAAACGTGGTCGTTGATGTGGGACTGCCTTCATGTTGAACTTCACCCCCGTTTGATTTCCTGTCATCACTGAATTAATTTACACAGAATCTGTGTTTGTTTTGGCAACAGCTCAACCTCAGACTGTCCTTTTTCTTGTTCGAGGTGGAGAAATGAGAAAGAAATGAGACCTACGTAATATATATATACATACATATACATGTGTATGTATATATAAATATATATGATCCTCGCAGAGAAGACTTAGGGTACTGCATCATTATGCAAACTTCTGTTTCCTTTTTCCTCTAATCTTTTGATTTATTTTGTATTCTAGTTTACAGAGGGGAAAAACAAAAATAAAATCATCTTATTCTTGGTTGTTTTGTCGTATCGGGGCTTCTCTGAAAACAAAGCGACACAAGGGTAGTTTTTTTTAAGAGTACATAGGCATTTTGCAGTTATTTGTATAAAGAAATGGGTTACAACCTGCCTAATGTTTATTTTTTTGTAACTATATTACAGTTTATTTGCTGCTGTGTAGTACAGTGAACAGTTGGAAATGCTGTCGATGGCAAACTATGAGGATGGAGACGACGTTCACGCCCTGGTGTCAGGCTCGGGTCAGGTGTTCTCCCCCCGCCGCCGCCGACCCTCCCCAAACCTGGAGGAGGGTTTTCGGCAGGCGGAGGAGGAGGAGGAGGGGGGAGAAGCAAAAGGAAATCCTACTCTGCCCTGCTACCTGTGTTCTTATTTTCCGAGTTGAATGCTGTTGTTTATTAGCTTTACAGGAAAGAGAAAGAGTTAAAAAAGAAAAAGAAAAAAAAATACTGTGGAGGTGTGTATCCTTCGTATGTGCATTATTTTTCAGCGACGTACGTCCTATATGCGAAAAAAGAGCTCGAAAAAAAGAGAAGACTGTGTGGGAAACCTTCCTTGTGTAAATAAGGAAAACTCGAGTTGTCGCTTTTTTTCATGTTCTGATCGGCGCCTCGGCAGGTGCCCCGCCCCCTTCTTTGTTTTCGTTTCATTTCCTTCTCTTTCTTTCTCTTTGTTTCCTCGTGGAGGGAAAGGGGGGTAGGAGGGCTACTCAGAGGCCATTTGAGCATCGGCATAGTGTTTATATTTATCAAAACTTTTTGCTTTCGATAGAGCTATTGCAATAAAAATGTGTTCATGTAACCGCCGTCGCCTCAGCTGTCTTTTTTATGTGTGTGTGTTGTCCGGCCGACGCAAGTTTCTCAACTCCAACGTCACTGAAGATAATCTACTGACGCCCGAACACGTTACCTCCAGCTAATTATTTCTGCTGTGTGATAAAGTATTTGGTCACCCAGGTGGTAAAGGTTGAGGAATTTCCCTGATAATTTACAGTCTGATAAAAGTCTTTCGAAACCTTTCTGATTGAGAAAAACTGGGCCGGTGACGTCAGTGAGAAGGATTCTGATGAATCCTCATGACTTCTGTTGAGTAAATAAGACAAGAGAGGCTCACCGAGGCTTCTGGTGATCAATACTTTTTGTTAAATGTTTTATATAAGAGAGAGAAACGCCATGATTAAAAAGAATATGTACGTTTTTCCATTCTAATGGTTGTAGGAGATGATG